CCCTGCTGGACTTCTCTCTCGACGCCCCTGACAGGCCATCCTCTTGCTCTGTATTAGCACCAACCAGGCCAGGTAGCTTGAGTGTGCCTCCCAGTGACCCAGGCCAAAGTATCCCTGTAGAGGGCCATTCCTCCTAACCTTTCCCTTCCCACAGTGTATCCTTTTACCCTTCAAGTTTCAGTGGACCCGTTCCCTGCCATCCTTCTGACCACACCATTCATTCTGCCTCATAGCTGATAGAGAGCTACCTGAGTACTTGTAATATTTCATCAAACTTACTGTTGGTATAGCTTGGTGCCCTGTTACGCCAGATCTTTATTTCTGATCCTTGTGCCTGGCATATAATAGCATCCAGTACATGCCATTGAATATATAAATGAATCTAAAATGCTTCTCAAAGACGTGATGGAGATGTTCAAGTTTGGCAGGAGGTGGTGCAAGGAGTTCGAGCAGCAGATAGAGGCTGGCCCAGAAGACTTGAGATTCCTTCTGGCTTGGACAGTACATGAGTCTGGCAGTTGCAATGATAAGGGTTTTGCTTTAATGGAAGTAAAAAGCAGACTGAATTGAGGGAAGATATGGGGAGACTTGGCTTCTACTTCCAGTTCCGTCACATACTCACCGTGACTTGGGCCAAGTTACTTCCCTCTCTCGGCCTCAATTTCCTTCGTCCTCAGAATGGAGAAAAATAATACTTGAGTAAGTGGCTGCTTTGCCCTTCTCCCCATCCAGTCCTTGTAAGAGTGAGTGCCAGCTAGGGAAACTGCACAGACCCAGCCCAGGGTACACGGCGAGGGCACGTGGGGGAAAAAGAAATCTGGGATCCCTATCTGTACCCTGAGCCATGGGCTGGAGACTCAAGTTCCTGTCCTGATTCTGCCACTCGCTCTTAGGGACCCTAAGACCTTTTCTTCTCACTTCTCCAGGGAAAAGGAGCTAATGTCCTGGTGAGGATCAGATGTGTAAAATCTATGTAGACAGACCCAGGTTGTACTGAGGGAGGTGCTGGACTGAGCCTCCAGATGAGCCACACACCTTGTTTCTGTCTGGTACCAGCTTTATTACTTCGAGCAAGAAACATAGCCTCTCTGCCATACTTTCCTTATCTATAAGTGGGAACAGTAACAACGCCCACATTCCAGAATTGGTGGTGGAGCTCCAGCGAGGTACTGCGTGTTAGCATGCTTGCTAACGTGATACTTAAAAGTCTAGTTCATGTAAACCCTCTGGTCACTTTGGACAAAATGTTTCCACTCTTTGGGTTTTGTTCCCTGACATTTCCAAGCTGTCAGACGTTCTGGTAGTCTCTAGGACCTGAGCCGGATGCTGTGTCTTCTCTGGGAGACTGCCCACCGACATACATTCATTACTCTTCTCACAGGGGTGGAGGGGTGGGTAGGAGGAGCTCAGGCACAGGGTGAACTCCAGGCCCTGGACTGGGTGACCCATGTGCCCCTGCTCCCAGCCACAACCTGAGTAACCACGCCTTCCTGGGCGGCTCTGCTTTATAAGCTCCGTGTCATGCACAAGCTGATTCGGTTCTTGTTGCAGCTCGTATGCGTCGATCTGGTGGCCGCAGGTCTACCGGCTCAGCTCGGGAACTGGAAGACATCTAAGTATAGACAGCCTTTTTTCCTCTTCTGCAATAGCTACCTGTCTCTGCCACACCAGCAGCCCCCTTGACTGCCACCTACCAGTTCTACAGACCTCTTTGACCTTTCTCTTGTGGCCGATCTAGCTTGCTGCTGCTTGATGTTCATCTGCCTACACTGTAATTCATTTCAAAACACTCCCCCTTGTTACAACAAAGGGCCTCCTTCCCCCTCCCCAGTCATCCTATAAGTTATGACTGGAGCCTGCAACCTCCTGGCTAGTGCTTTCCTCTTTATGGCATTTGACTACTTTGTATGTGAACAGTATTTGAGCTTCGATTGTCTTGCTCCTGGGAAAATGTCAAGGTTAACACTGAGGGGACACAGACGCTGCAAGGTAATCTTCAGGGTGGAAACTTTTTTACAAGGCAGGAGGCAGGCCAGGAGCTCTGAGAAAGAGCGGTGGGAATTGATTCCAGCAGGTTAAGACCCTACTCTCATTAAGATCAACTGAACTTTAGCTCTTATCTGAGCTGGAGGAGAGCTTCAACTGCAGGGCCTCTTGTGTACAAAGCAAAAACCGTGGCGGTGGAGAAAGTGGGTTTTATGCCTGTGTGGTCAGCGGCTTAGAAGTAATTTATGAATGAGTCAACGCTAACACAGACCCTCATCGGTGAACACTGACCAGTGGGAGAGCCCTTACACAACTCACACATAACTGTCCTTTAGAAAGACTTCACACTTTGCTAACCAAAAAGTTAGCAAGAAGCTTCACAGAGCTTTCTCAGAGCCACAGAAATGGTTCCCGATGCACACAGTCAACTGGCTTATATCTCCTCTCCATTCCTTTCCAGTGAGGAAGAGGAGGCTCGCAGACTTGACTGGGCCCATCATCCCCAAGGTCCGAAGTGGTGTCTAATGTGTGAAGGGGACGACCATGCCTTTGAACTGCACACGTTCTACTGATAATCTGTGCTCTGCAGTGGAAACCAGAAGGCAAAGTGCCGGCACAAAACCCTTTCGTGGTTCAGTTCTTTATGCACTAAGGTTTTTAGGTTAACTAGTGGTTGTAGTTGAAAATTTTATAAACTATGGTTAATGTGAAGTTTTCCTTTAGTCACAGAAGTTCAGTCTGGTTATTATTTAAAAACTAAGACCCCAAACCAACAGATCTTACTGAAGACGTTCTAGCATGGGACTTAAGCCTGGGAGCCCAATTTCAGGGGCCTCACTGCGTGGTGTTTCAGGTGTGTTTAGAATGTGTAACGCACAAACAGCACGCTCTTCCGCATGGTTGAAAAGCATTATAAAATACTTTATTATGAATTTGATCTTAGGCATTTAGTGAACAGATCATCGTTATTAATCCTCCTTTAAATTTTAAGAACCTCAAGATTAAAGTTGCCCAATTGATCAGTGGGTCAGGAAGCACAATGTTGCCCCCCATGAAAGAGCGATTGAAGGCCACAGAGCTCTGCCATGATTCAAAGAACGTGAGGTTCCTTTTGCTGGATATGAGGAAATGATTGAAAAGCCAGTGAAATTTCAAGTTGCAAAAGCCATCCTTTCTTCACCAATCCCAGGCAGCAAACATTTCCCTGAGTGTTCTTTAGGAACATCTGGGATTTATTTCCCATTTAATATTGGAATCAGAAATAATGTTTTCCTTACTCAGTGTCAACCTCAACGATGTGAAAACCTATGGCCAAATACTTGAAAAGACCTTTCTGTATTGCACAGTGGGCCAATGGCTTCTGGGAGGTAAAACAATAGGGAAATTTCTAGTCCATTACGGCCATAGTTAAAGACTTCAACCATGTGTCACATCACCACTGATCTCGTCTGTCAATTAAGCCTCTGAAGGCCAATGGTGAAGAAAATCCAGATATCAAAGAATTAGGAAACCCTGGCCAAACCATCCCAAGACGATTATTCTGTAAATGTAATATTGGTGTTTCTGCCAGATCCCTTTTTCACATCATGTGCATCTCTTGGGACCCAGCAAAAATGTTAAGCCACAATGCCCTTGTGCCTTTTAATATACCACAGTGCCAGTTAAACTAGCATTTCTGTTGCTCGACAGTTATTTTCATGAGTGATTCAGCAAATCTTATGACAAAGGACAGCCCAAATAGCTGACGAGCACAGACTAAGCTGCAGAGCACCGAGCGGAGGCTATTGACGAAAAAGGCAAAGTCTTGCACACTGAACTGTGATGATGTGGACAGTACAGGGTAACCAGAGGTGGAGCCAGGGCCTCACGCTAAGGGAGAGTGTCTACTGAGGCTGCAGGTGGGCCCAGGAGTGGCACCATGCTGCAGGGATGGCCCTTCCCACTAGGCTTCTCCTTGAAACACAACTGCAGCTGTATTCTGCGTCACTGGAAACTGCGACATAAGATTAAATCTGTTGGTCTATGGACGGTTGCGTATGTATTTCTTGCGACTAGGGTGACAGGGACACGTGCCTGACATGTTGGCCAGAAGGCTGGGAAACTACCATGGCAACGCAGAACGACCTCCCTCAAAATGTGTCTTCTGTCCCAAGGTGTTCATCTAAAAACTGCCCAAATGTCAGCGTCCTCAAACTAATTTGAATCTTCCAAAAAGAATACTTAAAGCTAAGCGTGTGGGTATGGGGGGAGCACTCTCACAAAAACCAAATCAATAAAAAAATGAAGGTGGGCCACATCTTTAAGACCATCTGCTCCATCAGATGAGCTATTAGTTTAGACTAGGGAATGGCAATTTTTTTTCTATAAAGGGCCAGATGGCAAATATTGTCAGTCTTGCACACCACAAGGTCTCTGTTGTAACTTAATTCTGCCATAGATCATGTGTAAATGAATGGGTGTGGCTACTGCAATAAAACTTTATTTACAAAAAAGCAGGAAGCAAGTCAAATGCCATAGTCTGCAAATCCTGACTTAGCCTCTCAGGCTGCCAGAGAGGAGATGAGGTCAGAGGTGGTGGATGGTAGGTGACCTGAGTGGCCTGCTTCCAAGGAGTCCACCTCCAGGGCTATAGCTTTCACGCTTCTGCCACCAGGGTGGACAAGTCTGCTGACAAGCCCAATGACTACTACCAGCCTGCTGCATGGCACAGAGAGGGCACGACCTGGTCACCAGGCTCAAGGCTCTCTCCCCCAGCGGCTTTGGGATCCCACAACAGCTCTTTTTTCTGTGCTCTGGCATCTTCTTTTTTTTTTAATATTTATTTTTGAGAGACAGAGCGTGAGCTGGGGAGGGGCAGAGAGAGAGGGAGACACAGAATCGAAGCAGGCTCCAGGCTCTGAGCTGTCAGCACAGAGCCCAACACAGGGCTCAAACCCCAAAACTGCAAGATCATGGCCTAAGCCGAAGTTGGACGCTCAACTGAGCCACCCAGGCGCCCCTCTGTCATCTTCTGAGTCAAATGTTTCAGGTAAGTGGGCAGAACCCAACTCCCTCTTTCCTCCCCCCACTGAAGTTTAGGTGGCCAACACGGTACCCAGTTTATGATGCTGGCGTTCCCTGCTTCTCTGTTGCCGCAGCTTTGATGTTCTCCAGCGTATGGTCACTGTGAACCTAGCTCTGCGAAGGCCTAGGGAAATGCTGATGGTGCCACTCGCGTAAGCACGGCCCATCCTCACCAGCGCCAGGCCTTGGCTCTGAGCTGGTGGGGAGTCAGTCACACCTGCTGTGGCAGCTCACTGGGTATGCGTGGCCGTCGGGCTGTACACTCACATTCCTCTCTAAAGCTGCTCTGGGTGGGACTTGAAGCCAGCCCGCTCCCTTTGTCCTGACACGTGACACAACAGGCTGTGAACCCTTGTCGTTGGCAAGCAGGGCAGGTCAAGATGAGCTGGCGGCACTGGGGAGTCGAGCAGAGTTTATATTGGTCCCATGGGGCTCCACAATATGAACATTCTGGGGAAGAGAGAAAAGCCCTAGTTATAAACACACACATATACACGTGTATACATGTAGACAGGCGCTTCTCCAATTCCTAAATATAACTCTTAGCACATCAGCTAATATATCCTGTTGGGCCTGGGAAGGTTTTAGAAGTTTCCCGTCTTCTACCAAAAAATGCTTCTTCACCCCCACTTTTTTGGGGGGTGGGGAAGGGGTAGGTTCACCTGGGAATTGTCTTCCCGATTCCAACATTCGGTGACTCACTTTCTTCTTTTTCCCACTTAGAAAACAGGTAATATTGTTTCTCTCTTTATTCCAAAGCTGGCCAACTACCCCTTGGTTCAATGGTCTTTTTCCCTTTTTAGGTCATTCCCTTTATCGTGGGAAACAACACACGAGTACAGATGATCCCACATCTACATTCAGCTTCCTCCCACCTCTATATCCACGGCCCTGCTCCCCAGGCCTGAGGTTCTGCTGCTGTTGCCAGTGGACACCTGACCACCTGATTCCTAAAACCCCCATTATCTATTTTCTCAGCCTGTTTTTCCCTGCTGACTTCCTGTTACCATGAACAACATCACCATTCTTCAAGTGTCCTTAACTAGTTTAAGCCACCTTCGGGCCTTCTCTCTTGCCTTCACACTCACATGCAAGTACCCATCATATCCTGCCAACGTTTCCTCAGTAACATTCCTCAAATCCACTATTTCTACTTACTTATAATTTATACTCCATCTAGCTCCAAAACAGATCTCAAGTAGCTTTCAATAAGACACACAAATATAAAAGACTGTTAAAATTAATAAAAAGATCAAGAAGAAAAGGGAGAGGACAATCACACTCAAATCTTATTCATTGTCTGAGTGGTAATTCACGATCACAGGAGTTCTAGCAAATTACGACAGTCACTAGGGTTGTCTGCCCATGACCTTTCCGGTTCAAAATAATGGCATCCGGGGGCACAAGCCATTTTTCTTAAGGATTATTTCCATCCTCCTTTTACTGACTGTCCTCATTGGGTACCACACATCGGTGAGGACTCAAAACTACAGTCAAACCACAGGCTTCCTGAGCTCACACCGTCCTGTGGCCACCCCTGCCTTGGCTGTGGGTTCAGCCCCTACCTCGGAATGCCCCACCCACCACTCAAAAGTACCTCACCTACCACATGTGTCTATAGACCATCTAAAATGGAGGTTCTTTAAATAAAATACATAGTATTACAAGGAAACGAATTATATAGAAATATAAAATAATCAAAACATCTTCAAAAATCTATAGTAAGATATTAACACATGAAATAAGATAGTGGGGGCCTACTACTTCCATTTTGAGATGATGACAAACATAAATGCTATTTGGGGATGTCTGCAGCCACTATCATATGTGAAAATACTGTGGTTTCTGTTGATGACAGAGTCACTGGTGTATCTAATATTACTGATTTGTTGCTTACATTACAGTCAAGGAAAGTGCTACGTGTAGTGCGGGGTTGCAAAAATAAAGATATAATTATTTTCCCATCCAAATTCACAGAACTCCTAAATTTTATATCTCATCTCCTGGTGAAGACCCTTGATTCAGCCTATTAGTTCAACCCCCAGCATGCAGGCAAAGCAAGTGGCACCACCCCTAATGTAAAGGACTTGCCTAACCAGTAAACAGGAAGTCAAGATGGCAGTACAGGCCTCCTGATTCCTGGTCCAGGGTTCTGTCTGCTCCACTACTGCATCTCCAACTTTAATGGGAAATGGTCATACTACATTACTTCTTCTCCGTATTTTCTTCTTCACATAACCAGTACTGGCCTGCCTTCCAGAATGCTTCATACAGAGTATGCCTGATCATAAATTCAGGTTCCAGCCTGTGCCAACCTACCTGACACTATATCACTGTTGTAGGATAAGGCATAACGCTCATCAAAAACAAACAATTTCCCTTTGTAGAAACCATCAGGAAACTCCTCCAGGTACTTGTGGATGCCACCCTTGAGCTGGAACACTTCCTTGCATACTCCCTATGTGAGGAAAAACAAGAAGAAATTTGAGGAGACAGAAACGAGTAAGAAGCTCCACAGGAGACTGGCAGGTGATGACAGCAGTCAGGGCCTTCCACTAGATCCTGGGAAGCCCGGCTATTTTTGCTGTCCCCTAAATATAGAAGGACACCTGTCGGGACATGTAATGTGAATTTGCTCTTCTCAGGATCAAGCATAAGGATTAGGAAAAGGGAGATGTTCACTAATCTTTCCCTTTTGTACCTGATGAGTGTCTAAGACTGTTAAGTGCTTTCCACATCTTGAGATTTAAGAACTTCAGATCTTGTACTTACAAACTCTATTCTGGAACCATACAAGGGAAAAATAAATCCCTGGCTGGCTGAGGGTGACAGAGGGAATGAAGGTGGGGAGTGGAAGGCTCACTACATGCTGTTGGTAGAACCTTCTTCATCTCCACACCTGCAGTGACTCCAAGGGTGTTAACTCACCTTGGCTTTGAGGTAGGCTGAACCCCGCTCACAACGGATACCCCCAGTACAATACATCAGCACCTTCTTCTCTCTGAAAAGTTCTAGATTTTTGTCAATGTAGCTAGGGAAGTAACTGAATTTCCTGATGTCTGGGGCTAAACAGCCCTGAAATCGCCCCTACAACATAGGAAAAGCAGAAGGAAATTTATCAGAAAAACATACCTGGTAAGAACAAAGGTTCTTTCTGTGTCAGCCCCACTCAGAGCCCCCCTTTGGAAGGCACCACTTACTAGCTGCTGTTTCTCATCCTACACTCTGACCTTTCAACTTCAAGATCTGGAACTCAGAAATAAGCCTGGTGGGCTATTGGTCACCTTACCAGAGTCCTCAGAAAACTGGAAAGGCTGCCCAAAGCAAACTATAGGATCCTTGACCTATATCAAGGGTAGGCACATGGGAGCCAAAAAGTACATTATGTGCCAAGATGTCTTTTAATTCCTACTTTCTTAGACTTTCTCACCAGGTCCTGAGTTCAAAGGCTAGGGTTTTCTCTGAAGCTGCTAGCAGTCAGGGGAGATCTATGTGACTTGGGCACAGGCAGGCATAAACAGCAGCACCTCGGGAAACATGCCATGATGTGGGTAGGGGAAGGCCTACCATTTCACTGAACTCAATTCTGGTTCTACTTACTATTTTGCTTTCATAGAAGTTTCTGCAGTCCAGGAGGATAGTATCACTTTGTTCTTCATTTGTCTGAGACAAAAACTTTTCTACTTCTTTATGAAATTCACCTGGAGATAAATGGACTCCTAAAACCAAACCAAAAATCTACTTAAAACAAGACAAAAACAAAACTCAAAACCCAATCACAATTGGCCCACCCTGATAACTCACATGTTATTCCGTTTCCTTCCACCCAAACCTTTATTCATAACTGCAATTATATCTCAAAATAACACTACTTGATGACCATAATGAAACAGTTTAGTAACTCCAGATATCCTCCTTTTCCTTCCTCCAAAGATAAGTGGTATGGAGACCTGAAGGTTTAGAAATGATTAGTCAAAGAATTTTCCATTCTCTTGGTCTAACCCAGTGATAAAAGCCAGACAGTGGGGATCTAAATTGCTAAGTGGGTTTGCTGGTCCATTATACGGCCAATGTTCTATTTTCACTGTATGTGGAGGAGCCTGGGCATGTATGTGCTTGACTATAGGCTTTTGACTATAACAAAGGTGAGCCCAAGTTCAAGGCTAAGAATCTTGACAGGCAGCTACGAGTATACATTTGTGGAATAAAGTGGGGTATTCTTCAAAAATACAAAAGGGTAAGAAGAATGTGTGTAAGTCTGTGTGCATGAGGAAAAGAGAGGCTGGGAAGGGCTGACAGCAGCAGTGACACAAGAAAGCAGGGCAGGAGACAGAAAAGGAGGGAAGAGCTAAAGCATGCAGGAGAGAAAGGAAATGAAGAAAATAAGTAAAATCCAAGGAGACTAAAGAGAGAACCTCGGTCTGGTGGGGCCCTCTGCCTTCTTGACTCTCCAGAACAGAAATATTCCCCTATCTTAGGGGGTCCAGACATCCCCTGATTGTGAGGACTTTGGGGGAATTTGGCAGCATGGACTAACCACACCTTACAGACAGGGACTCTGGGGATGGCGGTCACCACACCTGGTGGATCCTGATGGCACCAAGGGAGCCTCATTCTGTTTAAGGGTGAACCCCAACAACCACCTGAAACTGCTAAGTACTCAGGTGGGGCTAGAGGCCCCCGAGCATGGCCAAGGAATCTGGATTCCTACCTGCCGAACCTATGGCTATGAGAATGTAACGAAGCCAGAATTGATTTTTTATTATCAAGTGATTACAGGTCACCAAAACGGGGGTGAAAGGGAGCTTCACAACTGTGATGAGAAGCACGGAAATCTGCTACGACTTCTACTTCTACTTACTCCCTGCTGCTGCTCTACTGGCCGTGCGAAGGCCTGACTGGCCAGGGACTCCGATGGACATGTTTAAACGAGATGCCTCCAAACAGCATGGCCCAAAAGAAAGCAGCACAGCACTGCCTGGAGCCGGAGCCCACTCTCCCCTAACCTCCCAACAACGTCCTGTAGCACCAAGAAAGAGCTCCTTACTCATCCCACTAAGGTAGGGACATGGTGCACACATGGCCCTTTTGGGCCCTTCTCTCTTCACGCATGAGTCTCTTTCCCTCATGCTGTATCCTACTCCTATTTCCCTCTGACTTAACCCTTAGCATTCTTTTAAATACCTCCATATTAGAAAGCAAATGCAGACAACCAGACCTTTGTGCTTCCTGATGAAACAGGACAATGCTACCTGTCAGGCAGTCTTGGGGGAAAAAAAGGAAAGAAAGAAAAAAGGAAATCAAATCTGAATCTGACCAAGTCTCTAGATCTGAGGCATGTAACAGAGTAGCCACTAGCCACATGGGGATATCGGGGCCTTGAAAGGTAGCCTGAGATGTGCTATAATAAGAGTGACATAGATCTAGGATTTCAAGTACTTAGTAAGCAAAAAAAGGTAAAAGATCTATCTCATTAGTAATTTTTTACATTCATTACACATTGAAGTATTTTGGCTACACTGCATTAAAGCCTATTTATTAAAATGAATTTCACTTGTTTCCTTTTACTTTTAAAATGTGGTGACTAAAAAAAAACACCATAAAATTACCTATGTGCTTCACATTAGTTCTATCAGACAGCACTGTTGTAACTATCAATCTATAGGAAAATAGAGGACAGAGGAGATACAGTCAGCTTTAGCCAGATGGTGGGAAACTACAGACAAAATGACCTGGTTCCTTCAAAAAAACAAACTGCATGGGGAAAAGAAACAAAGATGGGGGCAAATGTGCAAGCTAAAAGAGACTTAAAGGGACATAGGGATCCACCACAATGAGTGGACCTTACTTGAATCTTAACAGAAACGAACTTGAAAAATTATGCGATCGCCACAGGTACAATTTCTTCAAATACACCAACATGCAATTCTGGAAAACAGCAAGCCCCTTTTCTTTGCTGGTCTAGCCAATTTTAAGAACTAGCCAGATATTTGATAATATTAAGGAATTACTATAAAAAAGGTTTTATTTAGATGTAATAATGGTTTTACAGTTATTTATTTTAAAAAAAATTTTATCTTTTAGAGGTCTCTACTGAAATATTTGTAAATGAAATGGCATTGGGATTCCCTTCAAAATAATCCAGGATGGGACAAGGGGGCAGGGTATAGAAGAAAGTTGGCAATGAATCAGTAATTGCTGAAGCTGTATGACAGGTACATGGGAGCTCACTATACTATTTTCTCTACTTTTTTTTAATGTTCGATCATTTTCATAGTAAAAAGCAAAACAAAAACAAAAACCCACCAAATAAATGTCTTTCAACCATCTATGGTAACAATAGGGAGGAAGGGGAAGAGAACATTCTAGAGCACCTGCAAACCAACTGCTTTGGATCTGAAAGCCACTTGCTTCCTGAAGCAGAAAGCCTGTTATTCAGTTGATGAACTATTTACAAATAATAATTACACTCTTCCCAGATTGCTATCTTTGGAAAGAGAAAATAAGTTCTTGCCAAACCGTCATCAAGAAGAATAAGACGGGGCATTCTAATGGGTGTGTCTTCAATTACCATAGCACCAAACAGAAGACCAGTTTAAGCACTGGATGACCCACACGCTAGCTACCCTACAGCTGTTTGTTTTTTTTTTTTAAAGCATAATTAATATACAGTGTCATATTAACTTCAGGTATACAATATAGTGATTCAACAATTCGATACATTTCTCAGTGCTCATCAAGATAAGTGTACTCTTAATCCCCTTTATCTATTTCATCCATCTCCTGCCCACCTTCCCTCAGGCAAGCACCAATTTGCTATCTCTAAGACTCTGTTTTTTGTCTCTTTTTTCTTCGTTTTGTTTCTTACATTCCATACCCCCAAAGCCATTTTAAAGAGTGGATTGCTGATCAGAGTGTCTAATTTCCACATGTGTTTCTATATTAAGTTTCGTCCCTGTGAAGAAGAACAAAATTTTTCTTCTAAAAGCAAGCATACCAGGCTTCTTGTAGGAGATCTTATTGGGACTGATCCCCATGGGCACAATTTCTTCAAATACACCAACACGCAATTCTGGAAAACAGCAAGCCCCTCCTTTGCTGGTCTAGCCAATAAGAAACAAAACAGAATACAGTCTTACTCTCCCGTCTCCAGATATAAGCCAAGTGCCAAATACAAGAATTATATCTGTTTTGTAATAATAGCTGAAGTCTTAAGAAACTTCAAAGTAAGAATTAATGTTTTAATGGGAAGGGAGTTTAGGGCCTAAAATGTTTCAGATAATTCACCTCTAATAAATATTTATTGCATACCTTCCATGAACTGAAATGTTAAATTGCAAAGGTGTTTCTATGGCTATAAGCGTTTAACTATAAAACCAAAATAATTTCCGCATGTAAGATTACATCCTAGCTTTTGCTCTGGAGGAGCGACCTCTCTCCTACCATCACCAGCACTAACACTAGTAAGGTAGTCCCCACCACCTTTATCACCTACTGTGACAAAGCATAAGGTCACTCAGAGGAGCTCAGGTCGCTCAAACAAAGGAGCTCAGCCATGAGAGCAACAGCTTTGTCCCCCATGTGGTATGAAGTACTGATCTTGTAATTCCAGGTTGACTAAAAAGTCGTGATGCCCTGAAACAGCCAGGTGGTCCCTCAAGCGAGCAAACACATCTAAGTTTTAGAGTTAGACTGTGCAAACTGTAATGTCCTTATTCGATAAGAAAGGAGATTAAGGGCATTCACTTGCCCCAGATCACATGGCGACTACACAAAGAAGTGGAATGAGCATGCTCCTTTGACTGCACTGCCTCACAACCTAATGGGGAAAAAGGCTGCTGACTTCTCCACACTGATCTCCGCTTCAGAGCCTAGAGAGGGAAGAGGCACTGAGGCAGAAGCAAATGGCTCAAAATCCATTTTATTTTCAATTTCTCTTACCTTAAAATCATCCTTACACATATAATCCTTAAACAATGGGCAGGAAAGCATGGCTTCCACATAGAGTCTGGTGGCCAGTTTGCTTCCACCAACTGTCCCATTGATTCCTTCTGTAGCAATTCGAACCTGGGACACAAGACGGTGAGAGAAAGGGAATGCAGCCTGTTCTTAGCTTAGTTTAAATCTTCCCGGGGCAGAACAGGCTTGTGTGTGTCAGTGAGTTTAAGGGGAAAAGCAGAGACACAACAAAAGTGTTACCACACAAAGATACTTGTAGTTTTCTAAAATGGCACTGCCCACAGTTTAGATGAGGTACTCAATAGATGTGCGCTGAAGAAGAGAATGCAATGCGTGAAACTTCTGGAAAGCCCCATTTGCTACAAAGCCCCAGTTGTCCAATGCCCAAAGAAATAAATTTTGAGCTTAACCTAAATCCAGGTCAGAAGATCTAAGATCAAGACTCATCTTTGCCACTTACTTGCTTTGTGGCCCTGAGAAAATTAACTTACTTCTCTGGACCTCAATTTCTTCATCTTCATAAAAAGGAGGTAAGAGAGAAGCAACAATGAAGACAACTGCTGAGGAGATATTTCCCACGTCCAAAAACACAGAGCACGGCTGAGAGCTAGGAGGGCATGTGAGTACACCCCTGCACACCGCTGCAAACCCACCCACTGGAACACAAGGTCCACAAGGGGTGTGTGTGTTTTGTCCACTACTGCATCGCCGGTGCTTAGAACAGTGCCTGCCAAGTAGGTACTCAATTCACATTTGTTGAACAAATGGATGCGTATCCATATCTGAAGCTTTTTGGCTTCTCAAACACTGTATTCTCTTTAAAATGCTTCGCTGGTTAGGGGACATTCGAACCTGGATTCAGGCCCCTGCCTTAAGAGGCAATGCTCTGGGGACGCTGCCAAGTTAATTGTCTTGGAACTACAAAACCCTTCGGATGAGTTTAAGGATGCATCATCTTTAGAAGGAGCTGAGCTCTCTGGAGAAAAGCGCTAGAGAGAACGTAGACCACTCTAGTATCATGGTACTCTACGGAGAGAGAGGTCATTTAATTCAAGGTCCTAGATTGTTACTACCATTTAGAGAACAATGATACCTACCACTGCATGAGAATTTGAAAAATTTACAAGGCTGCCCTTTTTCAGGCCCCAGAGGAAATACCGTTACCTCCCTCGGTCCAGTTCTTTAGGGCATGTATATAAATGGGATTCATTTCATAAGCCAATGCCAACTCACTAGTAGTGGCTAGCCAGAGTTCTATGATGCGCATTCTGGATCCTTGACAAAGAGAGTTACAATCCGCTAAAACCTGCTCTGGGCATGGGAGAGGAAAGCAGAAAGAATATGCCATCTCTGCTGTATAGACCACTATCCCCACAATCAACTTATACTTTTTCAAGGGTCTACATAGAAAATAGAGCTGAACCAGTGGAAGTGTCACGAAATTTACTCTAAAACTATTTCTGACCATGGCAGATAAAGTACATACTTCTACATAACTGTCTTTAGGGTAGACTAGTAGATTCTTTCCTATGTTCTTTTAGTCTCAAAACCCAAATAAAAGACAAGGACACCTAATCCCTGTAAAGCTGGGGCAGAGCAATCTGTTGAGCAATCCAAACTCACGCACTAGACTTTCAATCCCTAAGGCTCCAGAAAAACCTGTGAAGTAGCTCCTTGGTGAGGAAAGCCTTATATCTCAGGAATGGAGAGCAACAGTTAGTATTTATTGAGCACCTACTATGATATAGGAGCTTTATAAGCCTGAAAGGTACATACCATAACTCCCATTTGACAGAAAAGGAGACAGCAGCTGAGAGAAATCAAGTAACTTGCCCAAAGACACAGAGTCAGCAGGTGGTAGATTTGAGATTCAAACCAGATATTTGTTCCAAATCATGTAATTTTTCCCTTCCAAAGCCTCCATTGTGTCCCTTCAAATTTCTTGAGGCAGTAAGGAGTTTATAGCAATAGGAATCAGAAGCTTCTCTCTCGAATTTTCAACTTGTCTTCTTTCCCTACCTAAATGGTAATACTCTGCCAAATCTCCCAAAATCAGAAAACTACCTCAGTAAACTGGGCATGTATCATTGAAGCCTAAAGATTTTAGACTCAGAGCCAGGCAGGTGCTGCCACCTTGTGGATAGGGACCCTCACTGCTAGTTCACTTCAGGCTGGGCCAAGAGTAAAAATCTGCCCCCCAAACAAGGAAAGAGATTGACTTCGTATTTTGTACATTCAGGTTCACTGTGAGAACATCCATCTCCCAAGGTGTTCTCAAACAGAGGTGATAATAAATGTATTCATTCCACAAATATTTACTAAAGATTTTACTACGCGCCAGGAACTGTGCTAGGATTTAGGGATCTAGCAGTTAAAAAAGAGTTCTTGCCCTCTTTGAGTTTACAGACTAAGGGCAATCACAGATATTAAGATAAAAATTACAAACTGACAAATGCTATGAAAAATAACTACAAGATGCTATGTGAGGGTGTACGGGGAAAAATGAATTTAGATTGAAGGTCGAGAAAAGTCTCTTTGAGGAACTATCATTGAAACTGAGAACTGAAGATTGAGTAAAAATTTTGCAAGAGAAACTGGGTGTGGGAGAGTCCCTTGAAGACAGTTTGCCTGGAAAAAGGCCCAAAGACGCAAAAAACCTTTGTGGGCTCCAGAAAAACCTGAAAGACCATGTCACTGGAGTATAAGGAGTGAAGAATGACATCAGATAGGCAGAAAAGTTAGGAAGGGGCTAAATCATGCAGGAACCTAAGGGTATATCAAGGATTTGGGTTTTACTCGAAAAGCACTAGACAGCCACTGAGAGATTCTGAGGAGAGCACAGCCGTGTTTCATTTACTTTTTAAGACAATGCAGGCTGCAGTGTGGAGAATGGATTAAATGGCAGGCAAGGACAGAAGAACAAGAGTAGATTAAAGGCTACCTCGGGGTGCTTGGGTGGCTCAGCCGGTTAAGGGTCAGACTCTTGATTTAGGCTCAGGTCATAATCTCATGGTTTGTGACATGAAGCCCCAAGGCGGGCTCTGTGTTGACAATGCAGAGCCTGCTTGAGATTCTCTCTCTCCCTGTCTCTCTGCCCCTCCCTTGCTGATGCTTTCTTTCTCTTTCTCTCCCCCCCCCCCCCCCCGCTCAAAATAAATTAAATAAACATTTTTTTAAAAATTAAAATTAAAAAAAGCTCCTGAAATGGATAAGAGAGGGTGGGGCATGGTCTAAGGTGGTCGAAGGGAGGACAGAAACAAATGGACACAAGGGATATTTTAGAGGTAGAAATGGCAGGATGTGACAATGAACTGAATGAGGTAAAGGAAGCTTTTGGCACCATCTGTTAGAAAACATCAGTGTGGAAAATATCAATGATCAAACAACTGCCTTGGGACTTAAAATGTGTGGGAAAGATTAGGCTTACGATTGTACAATGTCATAACCTGAGGGGATCTCAGAGGGAATTTTAGTTCATTTCCTTTTGAGTTTTAAAAACACATTATCTGTTGGGGAACCTGGGTGGCTCAGTCAGTTGAGCCTCTGACTCAGCTCAGGTCATGACCTCACGATTCGTGAGTTCAAGCCCCACATTGGGCTCATTCCTGTTGGCATAGAGCCTGCTTCAGATCTTCTGTCCCCCTCTCTCTCTGCTCCTTCCCTGCTTGCACTTTCCCTCTCAAAAATAAATACATCTTCAAAAAATATGCAAAGTAATATATTATCTGTATCTGTCTCTAGTTTTACCTATATACGTGTGTATGTGCATGCATGTATATGTATATGCATATATAAGTCTACGTCTATATATGTGTGTATACATGTAATCATAAAGAACGTTTCAGAAAATAACAAAAACCATCCACAATCTTATCACGCAAACATAATCATGATTAACATCTGGGTATCTATTACCTTCCATCTTTATATACAAACACTCGTGGTTCTATTACAAACATATATTCATTTCTTTATTCAACGCTCCCCAAATATTTACTGTAATGCTATGCACCAAGCCCTGTTCTAGCACTAAGAATACATCAATTAAGACAAAGTTCCTATCCTCATGAAGCTTTTATTAGGGAGACAGATTGTAACAAATTAAACAAGGATTATACTTTCAGACAATAACAAATTCTTTGAAATTCTCTGAGCAGAAGGTGACAGAAAGTGACAAGGTTTAGAGAGAGGACTACTTTGGATCAGAGTTCTGAGGAGGTTAAGATGTGTGCAGAGATCTGCAGTGGGGAATGAGCCAAGTGACGATCTAGCGGGAAAGCATCCTGGAGGGAAGGGAGCAGCAAATGTCAATACCACAAAATGGTAAAAGACCCTGGCATGTTCTAGAAAAATCAAGAAGCAACTTGGAATTATACCTATATGTATAGTTCTATGAAATTTTTTTCCAGCTAACATATCAAGAACATTTCCTAATGCCAGGGGTCAGCAAATTGTATCTACTTCTGCATACGGTTTTATCGGAACACAGCCATTTCACATCTTGTCCCTATTGTTTAAGGTTGTTTTCATGTTACAGTAGCATGCTTGAGTAGGTGTTGTTTGTTCATTGGTTTGTTTGTTTAGAAAACACATATAGACTTAAAGATCAACAAATTCAATTTTAGGCACTTCTTGAGTACAGACTATAGGAATTTTCTGGCAAGGAATGGCCTATCTAGCAGGAAAGATCATAAAGATTTAAACTTTAGTTCTTAAACAATATACAATGGCTAGACAACTGAAAAGAAATATTGCATAATTAATCCAACTGTATCCTGTTATAATTTCGTCACAATTCCACACACAGTTTTAGGGTTTAATAGAAGCAAGAGTGAGCAGGTTTTGGGCAAAGCCTAAAATACTTACTATTTTGCTTTGTAAGGAAAAGTCTGCTGATTCTTAGTCTACACCATTAAACAGTCATAAAATGCGACGTTAATAGCTGTTTAGCGGTCTACTTAAAAGCCTAGCAGGATTTCGCAGAACCTAACAGGGAATCCTTTTTGTCGTGAGCATAACCTCTGTAGTGCAAACTGGAGACAAGAGGAGTCCCGTGAAGGGTGCGGTGTTACCTTGCCTGTGAGGCGCAGGTGCTGGCACAGAGCCGTCTGCCAGGCACAGACCCAGGGGGGATCCCCCAGGTCACAGTAGCAGTAATAAAGTAGAACCTCTCCTTCATCACTGCCCTGGCCCCTAGAAGAAGAAAACCACAGGGAGAAGATTTGAGTCACTGGCATAAGGCAGCCACAATTCACAAAGTAGGCCCAGGCAGTATCAGAGGGCAGGCCGCGATGGACCAACTTGTGCCGAACTTTCTCCTACTGTTGTTGGCCTGAGAGAAGCAGCAACTCCGGTAAGTATTTGCTCTGAAGAAAACGTTATCTGCACCCAACTTACTTTACAAAAAGTAAGTTTACTTTGATTTCCTCATTTAGTCATCATACTCATGAGACAGGAATCAATAACCCATTTTACAGAAATTTCTGGCTTATCCTGTAAGACAGGGTCATATCTGTTTTTGAATCTCTCATTGTACAAAAAGGTTTCACTTCCATTTTTTCATGTAATCTTCTTAACCATGAGAAGGACTATTATTATCCCCACTTTACAGATGAGTAAACCAAGGCCGATTCCTTCCAGGTGAGAAAGTGACAGAGTGACAGTCAAGACTTGAACAGTCTTCTGACACTAGAATCCATATTCTTTCTACTGCATTGTGCTGCCTCCTACTAACTAGGCATGGGAGCTGGGTGGGTCTCCTATCATCTCTGAGACTGACTTCCTCATCTCTAAAACTGGAGAAGTGAAGTAAACTGCATTTCCCAAAGTGTGCTTGAAGCTGTTCTATGAAATCACATTTTGGAGAAACCTTGCAGACAACATCTCTCTGAGAATCTCAGGAAAGCCCCTTATCTACTGAAGGCTCTGAAACGTCCTGCAATAAAAAACATTTTAACCTAGTGCTTCCCAAACCTATCTGTCTTTAGCACCTCTTTCCAACACCTGTTAGCATCCTTCAGAGCTGGTGTTGCATAGAACAGATTCCAGAGAATGCTATGGTAGATGATAATTGAGGTCCCATCCAGCTCTGGAATCTGACACCCTCATCAATACCCTCATCATACTGCAGGGCCTACTCTCTTCTGAAACCTTGTCTATTTTAGAGCCTGTTTTCCTTCCTCTAAACTACTGTAACAAATTATCTGCACCACATAATTTAACTGATAATTAAGTAGCCTGTCTCATATCCTCTGCTAAATGTTTCATGTATCCTTTTTTTTTGTTTCTCCCCCTAGAGAGCAAATTCCTTGAGGCACAGGGCCATACAGAAGCAAAGAGGCCATTATTTGTATGCTTGTATGCCATTTTATAGTTCAGCTATTACCATCATTTTGTATAATTCATTTAGCAACACTGTGAGGTAAACAGGGCAGGCACCGATATTACTATTTTAGAGGTGACGACATATAAAGAATTTTAGTGACTAGCTCAATTCTGAGCCCAAGTTCAATTCTCTTTCTCCTTTTCTTGATAAACAAGAGGTATTTGGCACTGAGTAGTAATGACAAAAGTATATTAAATTTGGACATTTTCTATTCACGAAATAGTTCAGGAATTGCTTTAAATCAGAAATTTGTCCTCCAGAATTCTGTAATATAATTTTGTGAGTTTTGCAAAGGTAGGATCTAAACTTCTAATCCTGTGCCCCAGTTCTAAAAGTTAACATTCTTTCTGGGGCGCGCCTGGGGAGCTCAGTTGGTTACGCGTCTGACTTCGGTTCAGGTCATGATCTCACAGTCTGTGAATTCAAGCCCCATGTCGGGCTCTGTGCTAACAGCTCAAACCTGGAGCCTGCTTCGCATTCTGTGTCTCCCTCTCTCTCTGCCCCACCCCACTCGCACTCTGTCTCTTTCTGTCTCTCTCTCTCAAAAATAAATAAACATTAAAAAAAATTTTTTTTTAAGTTAACATCCTTTCTAAAACATGATCAACTGAGATAACCATATTTGGTAACAAAATATGCTTTGTAAGCTCTGATACTCAAGGTAGAGGAATCATTAACATTTCTGAGCCTTCCAACTTATCTCTGAAAATACTAATACAATTTTCTGTTCATTACCTCTCCTTCAAAAAGGTAAGATGTATCCTTCCATGAAACCTAGTGAATGCTGCCAGCTACATGGGTATATATCACTGCTTCCATAATACAGAGTATGTGGCTATCAGCCTGGCTTAGACCCATAGAGAAATCCTGTGCCTTAAAGATCTTGCCATTTTAGTAGATAGGCAGTGGTATCTCATTGTGGCTGGAAAAACTGGTAAAATTAAACCAAAAGTACAGAATGGAATTCTTACCTTATCAGCTCATCAGGGCTAAAGCAGCTTACATCAGGGAGCCAAGCGGACACTTCCCTGTTACAGGTCAAGTACCCTTTTAGAGGGTTCCTATCATCTGCAGGCTTAAGGCTCTTTGAGGTGTTCAGTGTCACAGCCAGCTGCTTTAACACGGAAGCAGTCTGGCGGCAGATCTCATCAGCATGTTGTGTTGCCACATGTCTATGGATGCCGATCCGGTCTTTGAACAGCTGTTGACAACATTTCCACCATTTTTCTTTACATTCAAAAGGATGTGCAGGAACTTCTTTGGTTTTGACAAAAAGGGCAAATGCCTGCAATTACATTGCAAATATTCCACGATTAACCTTAGGTGTAAGGCTGGCAGAAGTCTCAGTGAATCCCTGACGTCATCCGTCCACATGGGTTTCTAGGTGTATGTCCCAGTTTTTTTTAGAAGAACTTCTTGAGAGAGTTAGTTTTACTTTAAATTTATGCCTCTATCTAGGGGCGCCTGGGTGGCGCAGTCGGTTAAGCGTCCGACTTCAGCCAGGTCACAATCTCACGGTCTGGGAGTTCGAGCCCCGCGTCAGGCTCTGGGCTGATGGCTCAGAGCCTGGAGCCTGTTTCCGATTCTGTGTCTCCCTCTCTCTCTGCCCCTCCCCCGTTCATGCTCTGTCTCTCTCTGTCCCAAAAATAAGTAAACATTAGAAAAAAATAAAAAAATAAAATAAAAAATAAATTTATGCCTCTATCTAAAATTTGCTAGGGACTGTTCTTAAAGGAAGAACCTGAATTTCAGATGAATATTAGTACAACATTACAAACAACATTATCAGTCATATCTAAAAAGAAAACGGTCAAGGCAATTATGGAATGTATTTACTATAGAATATCGAGCAGGTAGTTTTAAGTTATATGAGAAAATATTTATGATATAATGTTAAGTGAAAAACAATGGAAAAAATTTGCTTATACAATGTAACCTCAACATTTAAAAATTACACTGAAAAAGATTGGAAAGAAATGTTCCAAAATGTTTTGATTTTTTGGAAAATAATTTTGTTGTTTTTATAAAAAAATATTTATATTTATTAAGACTATTAAACAGAAAACTATGGGCATGCCATAATTCTCTTAACCAATTCCTAACTCATGGACATTTGTTTCCAAACTTTGCAATTAGGGCAAGTGCGTGATGCAAATAAGCAATGCTGAGTAAGCATTCCATGCATACATTTTTACACCTCTTTAAACATCTAATTTAAATAAATATCTAAAATAAAACAGAGCCCGACACGAGGCTCAAATCCATGGACGGTGAGATCATGACCTGAGCCGAAGTTGGATGCTTAACCGACTAAGCCACCCAGGCACCCCACGTATTTACATCTATTGCCTATTTTTCTACTGTGGCATGGATTTTCTGTTTTGTAAGCAGTTTTAGTGACCTTTTATTGATCATAGTTCTCACAAATCTGTTTCCTAGCTTGTCATTTGTTCTTTAGTTCTGTGGTATTTTTGATGTACAAATAGAGGCTAAATGGGATCTATGATTATCAGCCTCATAGAGGCTAAATGGGATCTATGATTATCAGCCTCTCAACAACTGTTCCCTCCTAGTCTAATGGGAAAGGAGATACGTGTGTGTGTGTGTGTGTGTGTGTGTGTGTGTGTGTGCAATGCACTTGGAGACTACTGTAAAGCATCCAAAAACAAGCACTCTGAACATCGATAACAGACACGAAGCGCCACTGTGGGGCCATCCTCTGGCTGTACACAACTGTTATCTGGACTGTCTCAGACCGAAGTACCAGGAAGGGTAGCCTGAAATTACACCGCAGGGCATTTTTAGCCTCTTTTGCAGTGAATCCTTCCAGATAGGCAAACAAAAAAACAAAAGAGATAGCACATATGTCAACATATGTGCTTCTTTGTATTAAACTTTGATTTTCAAATCCTATCTGGTCTTTTAAGGCCTTGTGAACAAGGCATTGAGGACCCATCTGCAGTTGAGCCCCTGTGGGATCTGTTCAAGAGGGAGAGTCAGGCCAGAGCCAGGATGGCAGCTCAGAGGTGGGTGAAGCCTACAGGAAGGCAGGCCCTTGGAGGCCCAGCGTGGCAGGGTGGGTATACTGATTCCATACAGAAGAATATGCAAATAAGGAAATACATTGGGACTAATCAGAGCCAAGTTTCTCATCAAACCTCCTCAAATAGGGAAGTTATAAATATGGGAAAGGGAGAGTTAAGAATAACTCTTGTGATGCTGGAATGAAAGTGAAGTGCTGGTATGAGCTCATGGCGTAATATTGGGATGGTAGTAAATACAGAAGTATAGGTATAGGTTTAGCGCATAAACATATAGACGTTTATGCACTCATCTACATATTTTCCTAGCTTCACACACCAGAGGTCCTGGGAGAAGTAACATTTAGTAGCAATGAGTTTGCTGAGCCTCCAGGTTGTGATTTTTCATTAGAAGCAACCAGAGCTCCTTGAAGACATGTCTGGTTCCAGGGATGGGGCAGGGAAAATACGAGATGAGTCTGGAACATCTTGTTGAGTCAGAAAGTAAGGAAATGCTCAAAGAATGATGGGAGCAAGTCAAAAGGGCATATAGATACTAGCTTAAAAGGGCCCCCAGCCAGATCTGAGATGATCTGAGCATCGCAATAAATCATGACACAGTGGACTATCACCCAACAAATAAAATGTAAACCTACAGTCCACATGGATACAAACAAATTGGGAGAAAAGAAGGCTCTTCCTTACAGCAAAATGCCAAGTAATAAATCTAGAAGGAATGAAGCAATTAGAAAATCACCCTTTAGCACCCATCACAGTAACAATTGACTAAGCAAAGAAACACCAATGAATCTAAAATTAGTAGATGACAGTTGGATAAGGAATAGCATAGGTACACAGTCTCAAAGTATTCCCCCTCCCCCCTCAAATACTGACTTCTTAAAAGGGAAAAAAGAATAATTTTATAACAGAGAAATCTGACAGTCACTCCCTTAATCAAGTAATCAAAGTTAACACCACCAGTAATGGGACAAATTGCCATTGTGAACCACCTGATAGACTGTCACCAGATAAACACAGCATTTCTTGTGGGATGGTTTTGTTAATAAAAGCACTAACCTGAATCTAATCATAAGGAAACATGAGTGAAGACCAAATAAAGAGATATTCTACAAAATAACTCATGTAATCTTTAAAAATGTCATGGTCACAATTTCAGGGGAAAAATGAGAAAGTGTTCCAGAATGAAGAATATATAAGATGTGACAGCTCAATGCAACACCCTGGAATGGATCTATAAAGCCATTTGGGACAACTGATGAAACATGAATGGAGCTTGTGTGCAAAGGGGATATGAGGGTCCTCTGTACAATTCTTTCCTCTAAGTCTGAAATTTTTGTAAGATAATATTTGAAAAAACCTTTCTGTACCCTTTGGGTTTCATTTTCAAGGACATCCGTGTGAGATGAGAACAGAGGGGTGACGGATGAGAAGTTATAAGTAGGGACATCTATTCTTCATTGACATGAAGCCAACAAAAGCTAACTGTGGAAGGACGAAGGACAGCAGACTGGAGGTAAGAAAACTAAGTCTCAGTTGCATGTCCTCTGGTCGTTTTCCTTCCTCTGACCTTCAGCAGGAGGTTTGAGTCAATGATCTCTGAAAAAAGGATAAATGGCATAGAAGAGCAGCATATCAATATCACCTCCCGTTATAATCCAATCCCAACTGTCCTTAGTAAGTTTGCATCCATCCTGGGCTGCTGTGTCCCTTCTCCTAACCAAAAGAACTCAGCCAGCTAGATCAGATCAGGAGTCTTAGATGGCAGCTGCCATCTGCCTGTCTGTTCTCCATTTGACAAGGTCTCCTGGGATCCTGGGATCCTTCCCCTAACTCTAGGTGGGAAAAGGAATTCAGCCCATCTTTCTAGAATCTGTCCTCAAGTACTCAACCATACGTGTTCCACAACCACACCTTACCTATGATTCTTCTTTCGCCTGGCACTGACTTAAGATCACTAATTAATGACCCTAACTATACCTTGCCTTGAGCATGGCAGCCGCCTTGAGTCTCACTAGCCCTCTGTTCCCTGGAGGACAGCCTTGATGAGCTACTAATAGATGCATCTGAACTAACTATACATATGTGATCCTGAAGCATAAACGGCAATGCGGCAATCTTACCTTTTTCTTGGCAAATGAGTATTTCTTTTTCGTACTGACATCCAACTCGGCTTTAAGACTGCTACTGGGATTGATAAGCCTTGTGTCTTTTAAATCTAACTCTGAAAATCTTAAAACACAGGCCTCCGGGTCCTCTCCTTGGTCGGGTGAAGTAAAAGAAGGCATCTGGTTTGGTTGCAGTAGTGGGACAGATTCCTTTCAGTTAACTATCTCCTAGGAAGCAAGGGAAAAACGACAATTTCGGTCGTTGGTTACTACTTGAAGTAAACTTGAAGCTACTCAATCAATCAGGCAAATGAGCATGGGCCCAGCAACCCAAGCCATCCATCCATTCACTCACTTATTCAATAAATATTTATTTAGCACCTACTCTATGCCAGGCACTGTTCTAGACAATAGGAATAGAACAGTGAAAGAAATGGAAAAAGTCTCTGCTTTCTTGGAGTTTACATTCCAGTAGGGAGAGACAGAAAGTAAACAAACGATTAAATTTAAAAAGTCAGATAGGAGGGGCCTCTAGGTGGCTCAGTCAGTTAAGCATCTGACTCTTGATTCTGGCTCAAGTCATGATCTCAGGGTTATGGGATGGAGCCCCACGTCCGGCTCTGTGCTGAGCATGGAGCATGCTTAAGAGTCTCTCTCTCCCTCTTCTTCTGCCTCTCCCCACTACCCCCTTTAAAAAAAAACAGATAGGAAAACAAAAACCAGGGTAAGGAGTTAGGAGTGATGGAGGGGCTCTTTAAAACAAAGACTAGGGGCGCCTGGGTGGCGCAGTCGGTTAAGCGTCTGACTTCAGCCAGGTCACGATCTCGCGGTCCGTGAGTTCGAGCCCCGCGTCGGGCTCTGGGCTGATGGCTCAGAGCCTGGAGCCTGTTTCCGATTCTGTGTCTCCCTCTCTCTCTGCCCCTCCCCCGTTGATGCTCTGTCTCTCTCTGTCCCAAAAATAAATAAACGTTGAAAAAAAAAAAAAAAAAGACTAGGTAAAGTCTTTCTGAGGCAGTAGCATTTGAGCAGAAACCTAAATTAGGGGGCAAGCCCCGCAAACATTTAAGGTACATTATACCTGAAAAGCACCAGCTACAACCAAAATCAACCAAACTGTGTACTAGACTTCAATTACAAACATTTTGTCCTTTTATATCCTTTAATTTTAGAGCTGTCCAAATTCCATTCCTTAGAAGAAATAACAACCAAGAAAACCCCATTTTAATAAACAGAAGAAATATAAAATATAAAAATCACTCCTGTGGCCAAATCTTGTCAAAATGGACATACTACCAACTACCAGTCAAGCCACCATAATTTCTTCCTTTCTTTTTAAATTTTTTTAAAGTTTACTTTTTGAGAGAGAGAGAGAGAGCACAAGCAGTGAGGGAGACACAGAATCCGAAGCAGGCTCCAGGCTCTGAGCTGTCAGCATAGAGCCCCACACAGGGCTTGAACTCACGAACTGTGAGATCATGACTTGAGCTGAAGTCCAACACTTAATCTACTGAGCCACCCAGGCGCCCCAAGCCACCGTCATTTCTTGACCGAATTATTGCAGTAGCCTAACTGCCCACCTCCCCAGTAAGGTAACTAAACAGCAGTCCAAAGGCTTCTCAACATACTCTAATAAAGTCCAAAATCCATCCAAAGCACCTCTCACCGCCTCTCATCTCATCTACTACAATCCCTTTGATCACTCCTCTGATTGCACTATGTTTGTTCATTACGAAACGGATCCCCAGCACCAAGAAAACAAGGGTTTTCCTTTGCTCACCTCTGCATCATTGGCATGTAGAACACTGCCTGGCATATAGGAGATGCTAAATGTCAACAAACACAATTTATTTGTTGAACGAAATAAAACAGTGATTGGGTAGCCAGGGAAGGCTTCACTCAGGACTTGATGTTTGAGCTAAGACATAAATCACAAGGATCATCCATGCAGATTTAGGAGCAGAGTCTTCAGGCAAAGGAAATAGTATAAATTCCTAAAGTGGAAACAAACTTACCTTATTAGAGAAACAGGAAGAAAGAATGGATGGAGTGTAGTGATGAGAGAGCACAACCCTTTGGGTCTGAGTATAGAGTTTGCAATGCAAAGTAACTGGAGAATTGTAAACAAAGGAGTAACGTGGTCTGATTCAGGATTTGTCTTCAGAGTAGAGGTGGCAAGGTTTACAGATAGATTGTTATGCAGGAAATGAAGGAAAAGAAGGACCCAAGAATGACTCTTACCTACATTTTTGAATTAAGTAGATGGATGGTGCCATTCACTGAAATGGTTAAGACTGACAGAGGAATGGGTTAGGACAGAAGAGTCAAACAAGGCAATCAGATGAGTAGGTGCGGTGCTCATCGGAGACGTCAGGGCAAGGGACGCTCACATACACGTATATGGGTACCCAATAACCAATGAAAAAATTACTAGAGCAATCACCCGTTCCTTCCTAAACAACAACCGAGAAGGGCGAGGGGTAAGATGACCGCCCGAGAGTAACCCGGCGGCACTAGGTTCCGGCTCTGGCGGGTCTTCCAGTCCCACGGACCGCAAGCGCGGCGCCGCCCCCCGCCCCCAGCCCGGCCCCACCCCGCGCGCCGGGCCAGGCCGATCGCTCCGCCCAGCTTTCCCCGACGAGGCAAAGGCCCGGAAGTGGGGGTAAAAAGAGCACTCACCCGCCAGTCCTGGTTCTTTCTTATACCTTTCTTCATCGAATCTGCTCCGCCTAGGAATCGTCACTGAGCACCGTCCCAAGAACCTCCACCAGCCCCCTCCCGGAGTTTACGAAGGAAGGTACACTGGAGACCTGCCCTCGCCCCGGAAGTCTTCGAGGCTGTTAGCGAAAGGGCCGCCGGGAAGACTCTGCGAGGTCCCAGGGAGGGTCTGAAGTTAAGGCGGGGATTCCAGGGTGTTTTGTGGACCGGCCGCCGCTAGGCTTGGCTTGCGGCCGGCGGCCTCAGGCTGGCTAAAAAGGCGGTGCTTTCCGCGTGGCCCCGGAAGGACTTAAAGCGAAAGGCGGGAGAAGGAAGCCGCCGAGAGGCGGAGGAAGCCCGAGGGGGCGGTTGCGTGTAGACCGAACGCCCTCGGCCTAGTGAGCTCCCAGACACCGGCTCTCTCGCACCTGAGCCCGTCAGGCCCACTCCGCAGCCTCTCCTGCCTGCGCTTCCGGGACCCGTCTCGAGCGAGTGCGCCTGCGCGCCGGACACTGCGCGCGCCTCCTTGCTGTCCTCGCACCGGCCGGCGGTCGGACAGTTACTGCCGCTCTTCCCTCCCGGCTTCTCGTTTAGGCAGCGCTCCGGCGTGCGGCATGTCCCGGCGGCGGCACAGCGACGAGAATGACGGTGAGTGCCATCGGCCCTGCCGCCGAGGCCGCGCCCAGGCGGGAGCCGAGGTCCCGGGGGCTCGAGGGAAGGAATGGGAAGCCCTCCCCCACCCCACCCCGGGAGCGTTCGGGGAGCCACGGAGTGAAGGAGGGTGGCACAGCGGGAGTGTGGCCGGGCGACTTCTGGAAAGCCCTCGCTTCCCCCCACCCCAACTCCTTTAGTCGTCGGCCTGGTGGACCTCTCTAGTCTCTAAGGACTCTTCAGGATTTGGTCCTTAGAACCGTCCAGTAGGGAAGTATACCTGGGTCTGTGCGGCCGTCTCTTACGCACAGCGACAGGGACCACTAGTCTCAGTGGCTCGTTTTGACCCTCAAACTGCACCTGTAAAGGGCCCTCCGAAGGGAAAGAACAAAGCGGTGAGTGGAAGATCTGACGAATTGCAGTCTGAGCTCTGCTGTACCGGTCATGCGTTTGTCTGCCTTCTTTCAAACTGCAGGAAAAGAAATCTGTGTCGTATCCATACTCACGAGGTCACTAATAAACAGATGCACGTTGTTACGTTAGATTTTGAACTGACTTCAAGCGCAGCGCATTTCCCTCGTGAAAGAGGAGTACTGGAAAACACACTGGAGAGCTCTTCGAGGTGTAGATCAGGGGTTCTCTATTCCATTTGGATCGTTGCGCTCCTAGGGATCATGATATTGCCACCATAAAAACCAAGGATAATTTTGCTAGTTAAAAACAAGAAAAAGGTGCTTACCTTACAGAAATCAGCGGAGAACACACATCCACCAGGAAAGAAACTAAGTAATTCTATTATATTATAGTGTAGCGCTATTTAAAAAGTGTGTGGTGTATTGGTTAAGAGGCCAAACCAGAGGATTTAAGTTCAAAGCTAGACCCTACCATTACTTCATGATCTTGCCCAGATTTTATCGCCTCTGTAAACCTTAGTCTGTAATATAGAAGTATATTACATACCTCTTCTCAGTTTGTGAGGGTTAAATGAGGTAATACATGTGACATATCTCATGATGATATTTACTTATTTATCATCGGTTAATGCTTAAGAGGTGACAACCTTTGGCAGGTGTCAACGATGTAAGAAAAAATATGCAAGAAAAATTTTAATTTAATTAATTTTCTTCACTAACATTTTCCTCACCTTGAATCTTGGGGCCTTTAGGAATATGAGCAGAATCACATGTGTTTAGTTTTCATTTGAAAAAGTTTTTTAATGTGTTTTTTTTTTTTTTTTTGAAAGAGAGCGAGCACGAGTGGGGGAGGGGCAGAGAGAGAATGAGACACAGAATCAGAAGCAGGCTCCAGGCTCTGAGCCATCAGTACAGAGCCTGACTTGGGGCTCAAACTCAGGAGCCTTGAGATCATGACCTGAGCCGAAGTCGGACGATTATTTGAGCCATCCAGACGCGCCTCGTGTTTTGAGTTTTAACAACGAAACATCAGATTTCTGCTAGAGAATAGCTTGAGAGGATATTCTAATCCGGCCTTATCTGACACCTAAGGGTCCAGAGCTTTAGTATAATAAACACGGAGACACAGCCTGCAGTGGCTTGACACCAGTGAAAGCAAGTCCGGGGCTGTCATCAGGACACAGGTATTACTCCGCTGCGTGCCTAGACTTTTTTGTCGTTGTTTAATACATGAGGCTTTTTGCATAACATACATACTGGGCACAGAAAATACAGCTTCCCTATGCTTGGAATTCGATTAATCAAAAACTAATGCTTGAAGTGATCGCTTGGGATTCAGGGAACTTTCAAGTCTTTTAAAGTTCTTCCCTCTTTCTTTGCTTTTCTCATACTTTCTTTTCTCCACTCTTCTCGCTTCTAGGGCACCTTAAAGGGAGAGAAAATGTTTCCAGAGGGCAACCTGGAGAATTGAATGTGAATATGTACAAAAACAACTTTTGCTTTTGTTATTGTGATGGTAGCATACTTTTCTTGGGAGTTAGTTTCTTTTAATACCAGATGGCCAGTAAATCATGGTCCGTTCGGGTCTTGATGCAGGAACCTTAGAATAAATAATTGAAAGAAGTAACATGAGTTAATTAAACTTTATTCTGGTGAATAATTTAGTAGTAGGGGCAGTTCATAGTTCTTCTTGGATACTATACCGAATCTGAAACTTTTATGAATTGCCACAACTTGGGTAATGATCAGCTAGGGTTTACCCTAAACAGTGATCTGGATTTTTTAGTTAAGCTTCTACTGATTTTTTTAAAGATCTGAAATAGTAGATGCTTAAATGTTTGAGAAGACTATTTTAAAATAGGCTGAATTATAATAGTCCTGATTAAGTAGATATATCAGCATTTCTGGATTGTTGTCAGCTCTTATCAGTCACTGGCTGCCATGACTTTCCATGTGCTTGACGAGATACGATCGTTTATTCAACAGAAATTACCAGTGCCAAGCACTGTCCTAACTACAGGCATGCAGTAGTGGACAACATAAAGATGAAGCCTCATTTTCCAGACCGAACACAGTCAAATAAAATAGAATGTGTCAAATGGTGTCAAGTGCTACAGAGAAAAGTAAAAGCAGGAAAAGGGGGTAGAGACTCTTGTTGAGGTGGAGATGCTGTCTTATGTAGGTTGATCAGGTAAGGCCTCACTGAGAACGGCATCTGATCCGAAGACTTGCAGGAAGTAAGGGAGCAAACCAGATGGCTGTATGGGGAACCGTGAGTGCAGAGGACTTAAGGCTGGACCATTCCTGTCATGTTCACAGAAAGCAAGGAGGCCAGTGGTGCTGGAGCAGAGTTGGAGGAGTGAGGAGGGGCTGAGGGGGAGTTGTAGGAGCTAAGATAAGAGGTAGCAGAGGATCAGCTCATAAAGGGCAGTTTTAAAATTGTATCTCTTTGTTGAGGCTGGAGTGTCCAGGATCCAGGGAAACAAGTTAGGAGACTATACCAGTGAAGTTCAGCTGGAGTTCAGTTTATAAAGAAGGGAAGGGAAGTCCTAAATGGGAAATTAGTGTGTGTGGATACTGGTCCACTGCTAAATCTAACTCATTTCTTAGAATCTCTAAGAATGTCTCTGGAGCTTTGCAGTTATTACAGGATATGCATACAATAGCTGTTCAGTACATTGTTTATTTTGTTCTTCTAAGAAAATATTTATATTATCCATAATCTTTGCCAAAAAACCATATTAACTCCCTTTTCAGCTACTTAGAATTAGGTCCTTGTCTTTTAGACCGTGACTGCTTTTTTAACTTCACTACAGAAAAAAAATATATAATTAAAAGTGAAGGGATTTGTTACTCCAAGGAAGAGTGTAGTTTGTATACAGGCTGGTGATCACCTCTGCTTTAAAGCTGCAAGATCAAGGTACTCTACTTTTTTTCCCTTTTACCTTGTTGGTTTTGCTACTTTACTTTCTCTTTTATAGGTAGGTCTTTGTTTTCCTGCTTGTGGTTTTTATAGTAAGTAAAGATACAAGATGTAGTACAGTGTATCCTTATAAAGTTAGAATCACCTTACAGGGAAAAAGTTACTGGTGTATGAAGATCCTGTCAAATGGGTTTTGGTTTTTTTTTAATTTTATTATTTTTTTTAATGTGTGTTTATTTTTTCTGAAGGAGAGAGACAGAGCGTGAGCCTGGGAGGGGCAGAGAGAAAGGGAGATGCAGAATCTGAAATGGGCTCTAGGCTCTGAGCTGTCAGCACAGAGCCCAATGCAGGGCTCGAACTCAGGATCCCTGAGATCATAACCTGAGCTGAAGTCGGATGCTTTACTGACTGAGCCACCACCCAGGCTCCCCTCAAATGGGTTTGCTTTTTTTTTTTTTTTTTTTAGAACTCTCTTGGAGAGAGTTATCTTTTTTTTTTTTTTCCCAACGTTTATTTATTTTTGCGACAGAGAGAGACAGAGCATGAACGGGGGAGGGGCAGTGAGAGAGGGAGACACAGAATCGGAAACAGGCTCCAGGCTCTGAGCCATCAGCCCAGAGCCTGACGCGGGGCTCGAACTCACGGAGCGCGAGATCGTGACCTGGCTGAAGTCGGACGCTTAACCGACTGCGCCACCCAGGCGCCCCTCAAATGGGTTTTAATAAAGACCTGCGTCTTTCCTCTATACTAGCCAAGACTGTCAGAGTGAAGTGGCAATATGTAACTTGAATCTATATTGTAAAACTTCTACATAGTTACACTTAATATAAAATCTATTCTTGCTTTGGGAGCTACCATGGATATG